GTAGTTCTTGAGTCTTTTGGACATCTTCTTGCCATCCTCTGCGAGTACAATACCGTTGACCACACAGTTCTTAAAGGGCAAGACCTTCTTCAAGTGGATGCCCAGGATGACAAGAGTATAGAACCAACCGCGAGTTTGGTCGAGGCCTTCTGCAATGAAGTCGCCAGGGAATGTCCTCTCAAAGTACTCTGAGTTCTCAAAGGGATAATGTGCCGAGGCATACGGCATACTTCCAGACTCGAACCAACAGTCGAATACCTCCTCGACCCGGCGAAGCACACCGTTGCCTTTCTGGCTCGGAATTGTAATGTCATCCACGCTATCACGGTGAAGATCTGTGATCTCACCTTTGTAGCCACTGAGCTTTTTTAGTTCTTCTATGCTGCCCACTGCAATGACCTCTGAGTAGTCCTCACTTGCCCACAGCGGAATTGGAGTACCCCAATACCGATTTCTCGAGATGTTCCAGTCGCGGGCGTTCTTGATCCACTCCGCAAATCGCTTCTCCTTGACGAAATTGGGAACCCAGTGGGACTTCATAATGCCGTCGAGCATATCCGGAATGATGCTGGGCACCTTGTCATTTCCGGCAATGTTGACAAACCAACCGGACACAGCTCGGTAGATCAAGGGTGTGTCTGATCGCCAGCAAAACGGATATTGATGGGTCAGTTGACTGTCCCGAATGAGACGCCCGGTGCCCTTCAGATGCTTGATAATATGCTTGTCTGCTTCCTTCACGTGCTGACCCGCAAAGTCTGTTACTTCTTTTGTGAAGCGGCCTGTCTCGTCGACTGGGTTTGGAGGGAGGTGCTGGTGGCTGATGATGCCATTTTCCATGGCTACTCGGAAATCCTCTTCACCAAATGCTGGTGCTTGGTGGACAACACCGGTACCATCATCATCCGTGACATAAGTGGCATTGAGAACTCTGAAAGCACTGTCCTTGAATTCATCGTAGAAGTAGTCGAATGGCGGGAGATATTGTTTGCCTTTGAGGTCTGAACCCTTCATCTTCTCTAGGACCTTGAACTTGGCTTTCTTGGGGTCTTTGTACAGTGTCCGCAACAACTTCTCTAGCATGATGAATTTCTGACCGGAGTCTTGGTCCAAGAACTTGATGTACTCGAAATCGGCATTGACGGCCAATCCAATATTGGATGGCAAGGTCCACGGCGTGGTGGTCCAGGCGAGAAGCTTGGTGTCAGGATCCTCAAGGAGCGGGAATGCAATGACCACTGCAGGGTCTTGTGCTTCCTTGTAGTTGGATTGAGCTTCGTGTTGACTTAGCGGCGTGCTCAGCGCGGTTGAGAAGGGCATGACTCTGTAGGAGCGATAGACCATGCCCTTGTCGAACAGTTGCTTGAAAACCCACCATACTGACTCCATGAAAGTGGGATTCATGGTCTTGTAGTCGTTGTCAAAGTCAATCCACCTTCCCAACCGGTCAATGGTCTCTCTCCACTCGGTCGCATATCTCATGACAATGGCCTTGCACTCCGCGTTGTATTTTGCAATCCCCATCTCTTTCACCGCCGCCGGTCCAGAGATGTTGAATTTCTTGTCAATCTCATACTCGATTGGTAAGCCATGTGTGTCCCAGCCAAATCTCCTCTCGACGTAGTAGCCCTTCATAGACCAGTATCTCGGAATAATGTCTTTTATGGTGGAGGCCAGTAAGTGGCCGTAGTGAGGCAAGCCGGTCGCAAATGGGGGGCCATCGTAAAAGGTGTAGGGCTTGTTCGATTTTGAAAGGCGCAGTTGAGTCTGGAAGGCGTCAATTTCTCGCCAGCGCTTGAGCGTGGCCGCCTCTTCGGCAGAAAAATCCACAGCCATGTTTGGAGAAGTTGGAACGAATTGGCGGGGCGTGAGAGTGTTTTTGAAGAGGCACCGAAGGGAGAGTGACTCAATATTTGATACATGTCTTGGCGGCGACACTCACACGCCTGCACTGCTTTTAACAGCTGAGTGAGTCACCCCGATCGTGCCGCTTTTAAAGCCAGGTGCACGCAAATCGTCCCTCTACTCGGCACTTGACTGCCTACCCAGTACTCACTCCTTACGTCGACTTAAGACTTTTTGATCTGTAACATAACCTGAAGTGATATTATTTACGATGATATAATTTGAAACAACTCGAGCCGAAGTTCTATTAATTGTACTCGGTAATCTGCAGGAACATACGAGGTCAGTTGAACCGATATTATTATTGTACTAGCCCCAATTAGGCTAGTGATTCTATCTCTTGGCACTGCGACATGGGCTAGTATTTAAACCTCTTCCGTCACAGATAGAACTTCTCTTCCTTCTCAATCGATCAATCAATCAATCAAGTAAGTTATGGCGCTCTAGATTGAACCAACGACTAGTCGCGATGCGACTCGAAGGTAATGGCGAATCTTGTGTCCCAACCAATCAACACAGCGAGAGCTCTCAGTAAAACAACCAGAGTATATTTAAGGTGTGCCGGGTTCCAGATGAACTAATTCGATTATGATGTAATTGGCTGGATGAGACTCTCTAGGGACTGATTGATTGATTGATTCTTACCGGCCTTTAGGCTTCCGGTACCTAAAGGAGACTATTTTGTTGGCAGGCAGCCCACCTGGCGCCTTGGCCTCCCCAACCGCCTTTCCACTCGTAGGCACCTTGCTAACGGTGTCTCTGTAAAGCCTCTTGCTACAGGCACAGCCGTACGACAATGGATATGTCACTGCTTAGAGGGGTTCCTCAGCACCCTCAATTTGGACAACAATGGCCACCCTTTAAAGGGATTCTCACACGGCCCTTCAAACTTCGCAGTTCTCTCCTTTACTATCTGTTCTGCTGTGTCTGCGAGGTATAGAGGAGTCAAAACAAATGTATAGAAGGCACATCCCCCTAGCCGTCCTTCTAGGAGGACAAAGCCACTTCCGCTCATTCAAGCCCACTACCCAGCCCACGCGGCTATTGACTAAGCTGTCCGACCCAGTGCGGAACAGACATCCCCTACCACTTTTTACGGAAGGTGAAGTGTAATCGTGCCACTAAGCTCTTTCGGAATGATAGCTCTCGTAACAACGGTGTTCCCATTCAAGGGCAATAGCGTGAGATCGAGGATATGGGGCGGAGTTATGTTTCGCGCTGTGGCGTCTAAAGGCGGATTTCTACCGGAGATAAATAATGAGACCCAGGGTTCTGAGCGTCTCTGCCAAACATAGAAGGAGAAAAACGGACGAGAGTGAGGGGACAGAATGAGGTATCGTACTTGCTCTGCGAAATCATACTAATATGCTGGGTCTGTGATCTGCTTCTTGTAGCATCCTGGACTTTGGGGCCGTAATCGGGAGATACCCGATGATACACGGTGTCATCCGCAAGCACAGAAACACAATTGTTAAGGTACCAGGTTTTCGAGATGATCCTCCCATAACAGCTAAGACCATCGGTAGGGTACGATCATTGCCTCGTAGGGGTTGAGTGTTTCAGGGACAAAGTCCACCAAGGTGGATACGGCACCGTGTATGCAGATTCTCATGCTACGCTGACTGCAACGCTACCTGCAGTGCTACCTGCAGTGTCGTGTGGCCACCCTCGTCCTTACCTATCCAACCGGCACGTGTACTAGCAGGATTGTACAGTTAATATGTGGGTGATATGATGATATAGGCAAAAGATCATCTTAATATGCAGGTGCCAGGTTGGCATGGGTCTTTGGGATCGCCTCCCCATTCCTGCAAGTATGCACAAGCCATTGCCACATAGCGCCAAACGCTCCCACTGATCAATGATTGAAGACTATGCCATGATGCCGACGAGGAGGTTCCTGCAGCAGCACTCTTTCACTTGCTAACATCACCGTCTGGGCGCGGTCAAATCACTCACAATGGCAGAATGTTCGACGTATCACAACGACCTGACGGACTATAGCAAGGACAGCGACACCTTGTTGGGTGGTAGGGACCATGGCGAAAAGGAAACAGCTCCAACACGTTGGCGATCATATCGAGGCTTGGGGACCGTTCTGATGTTTGCCCTGGTGTCATTATTGTGCATTCTTCTTGCGGTGGACATTACGCTACGATTCACAACCTTAACGGAGAAAAGGAAAGACGGGAACAGACTCCATCGAAGTTTCGGTAGTAACGAGAGCTACATGTCGCTGGATCACAAGTATGATTATCTATGGGACCATGAATTCGCTGCAAATAACGCCGTTGTGTACATTCCTCCTGACGGCAAGAGCCAGGGTGTTGGCGGCGACGAGGAAATAGAACCTGGTGCAATCACGATGTGCGTGAAGCTCCTTTTCCCCCTTCCCATGAAGGCGTGTAATTGTACTCATATTTGCTAGGTTCCACCAACTCCACTGCCTGACATCAATCCGCAAAATCATGCAATTTGCTCGCGAGGGTGGACAGATTGGCCTCGACAATCGCGACGACCACCATTGGCCACACTGTCTATACTATCTGCGGCAAGCGATTCTGTGCAATGCTGACGGCACGATCGAGAGAGCACCGCCAATGGTCAATGGCACCAGGGGAATGATCAATGGGGCCCATGACATGAGAGTGTGTCGAGACCCCAGCGAGCTTTATGAGTTGAGGGAGAAATACGGATCTCGGGGAAAGAAGGAGTCTCTGAGCGGATCAAGTCGAATCAATAATTCATCAGAAACAATCTAAACTGGCCCTCTTACAAGATGGAAGACACGAGACTTTACACCATACAAGGTGTTCCATAACATCTGCAGCGGTAGTGACCTATTCGTGATGCAAGGCTAAAGGAATGTATCTATTTCCCACCGACCCACGGGTGCATGGTCTTTTCTTGGCTTGAGACTTTCGGTTTTCTGAAAGAAAGGCAAAGCTGTACGTAGCTTGGGTTAAGCCAGCGAACCAGCAGTTCTGTCTGACAGGCCGGTCGCGGTGAAGAAGGGTGCCTCGCTTGGAGGTTCACTCCAAGGAACATGGCCTTGTATAATTTCCCCAAAGCAAGGTTCGCTCGGCCAAGGCACTTTAGTTGCCAATGCAGTCCTTGCCGTAGCACTCAGACAGCTGACGTGCGTCAACCTCGACGGCCCGCTTGTTGCCAATACAGTCCTTGCCGTAGCACTCAGACAGTTGGCGTTCCTCAATCTCGACGGCTCGCTTGTTGCCAATACAGTCCTTGCCGTAGCACTCAGAAAGCTGACGTGCGCCTAGGGGAACAGCGGCGGCATTGATAGTGGTGGCGGTAAGGAGAAAGTAGGCGAGGAGGGTCGAGACTTTGATTTCCATGTTGACTTTTCGAGCTGGACGTAGTGGGTTCAAGTAACGTGCTTGGCTTGCTGACTTTGCTATTTTGTACTGGTGAGCGATCTGTAATACTCACTTGGCTGTCGCGTATCGCGTGAGCCAAGATGGAAGGCAATATATAAGAAATGCATGGCTTTGAAGCCCCTGGTACCCATGATGCTCGGCGTAAATTCGAGTCTCGTTGCCCCGTACAGACCCATGGATTTGTACGTCAGTAGAAGCCAGAGACAGTGCAGCCGTGGGTCTTCGATTTTCTTTTTGCAATAAATCACGATCGACATCCTCAGCACGTTGCCAGAATTCTCGTGATGGTAGGAGGACACAATGGAATCACGAAGGATTTTAGGGAGGACGTTAGACTATGGTTAGGCTCGTGAGGCATACTAGCGCATACAGACAGCACTGTATCACTCGGCTTACAGGATAGTGTATTATTCTCATGTGAGTCCCAGGGTATGTCACAATCGCCAATATGAGCAAGTCCATCCTGAACTCACTCTCCCTACCCTAGATGTCCTTTGTGCTCCTGATTCATGCGGACGCATGTTCAAATCCTTTCAAGGGCCACACTGCTCTGTGAGACCGACTTCCGCAAGCCAATTATCTCGTACTCATGAATCTGGTTGATCGTCATCCGCATTTATCAATGGTTGCCCTTCATCCCACAATTTGCCCGAGTCTCACATTCCCTTTGTAAATTGTCGTTAATGTGTTTCTGGTCTATACTGTCTCATGGGACTGTTCAAATACTCGTCGTTGCCCTCCGGCGAAAACAACGAGGATACAGAACGCAATTCACAATCTTCAGCTCCAAGATACACAATATTTGGAACGAAGTTCCTGCTGTTATCTAACGTGGCTCTAGTCATAGTCGTTGTTATCTTGTCTCTGAAGCTGATTCAACCGCATCGGGATGGGTCGTTTGAGACGGGCTTTTCGACAGAATTCAGTCAGTCCTTTTCTGTTCTTCCAACTCGATGTTGAAGCCCTCGCTGAATCACATGCCAGAAGCTGCGCACCCAGCTGTTCAACTGCAACGAATTCAATTCACTGGCGGTTTGCTGTACGATGAGAATGGCACGCTATACAGAAATGTGAATCCAGAAGAACCAACCTATGTCGGACCCCCAAGCCCAGACATAGATGCGGAATGGGAAGCCTTGATACATGGTAACTTGTCTTGACCGCTCTACTTAATGAATTTCCTGACCTCAAACCAGATCGGTACACGCCATTGACCTCGTCTGAAGCATTCAGCATCGGACTTGAAAGCTTTTCACTTCCTCGCAAGCAGTCATATTGGGCGGGGTGAGGAATCACATCTTCTTGGTTACCGCGCCGCTGACAGTTTCTCATTAGTGTCGACGTGTTCCATTCGTTACATTGCATCGTATACACCCACAATTCCGTCTTTGAAGTCAACAGAACTAACACGGCTCACAGAACTATGTTCGTATGGTACTAGACCTTGATTATTATGGGGACAGACTCGACCCGCTTCCTATCCGTCGGCTCCACGTTGGTACGTTGGATACACATCGACCTCGTTGCACCAAAGTTTACGCTGACAGGCCAGATCACTGCCTAGACCACCTGCGCCAAGCTGTGCAATGTAGTGGCGATCTTACCCCTGTCCCTGAGAGATGGGACAATGTCAGCAACATGCTCTACTGGGATTTTGAGGTGCCGCGCACCTGTCGGAATTTTCAAGCATTGCGCAGCTGGCAAGACAAACGAGTAGAGCAGATGATGATATAATCAGACATATACCACTCATTTATCACCTACAGTAGTCTAGTGCCACGTGGTTACAATATTATTTCCAAAGGGAAGTTACATAGCCTGGAAAGTCTGAAAACTGCTTTAACATAGGTAGTGGTTGTTGCTATTCAGAGGCCGAGACGAGGCACAAAGGAGATGCAGGTACGAGTGTCGCAAGCATCAATCGTTCAGGCACCAACGGGAGTCAACATTTTCTTCACCAGGCAGAGAACCAACGTAGTGGAAGGATCAAAGGCAGTTGAGCAGGTGAGTGATGACTCGTCGGCGATTCCGATCCATGTGTAGTTCGGAAACCTCAGGGAGTGGCAGCGACTTGCCAGAAGGAGCTACAGCAGGCCGTGCACGGTGTTGAGAAAGTTGACGTATCAGAAACCTATAAACTTATATCTAGGGACGCTCTACTCGGTATACTGATATCTCGTTATGATAGTCGACAGAGCTGACTGTTTGGGCCCTAGGTGTCTGCTAAATGACAAGTACCTAATCCCACAACATCCCTGCCTTAAGCACTGCGCAGCAAATGTCCACGACGTGTGTTAAGTGCGTTGAACGAAATATGAAATGAGGATAAGGAGCAGCCGTCTGCCCTCGTTATTTCGCTGGGCCGTTGGCCTAATGGATACGGCCTGACCAACACGCTTTGGGGCAGGATGTCGGACTGCACGAAGAACAACGACATGCGGTTAGGGATGAGTCGAGGACGTTGTAGAGGATTGAAGTTGCTGGTAGAGCTCAAGTTGCTTCCCAGATGTTGAATAATGTTATCGATGTGCAGCCTGATCAAGGCGCAAGCAAACTACAAGCACCTTGTAGGCTGCCTTTATCCACGTTCGCCAAGTCCCAGTGATCGCAAGTGTTGACAGGGTCGCGGGAGCGCCACTGGCGCAAACCACCTGAGACGCTAGGCGTTTCATCAACTGCGCAAACTGCTTCAGCCTCGTTGTTCTTGCAGACCTGTGATAGGATGGCGACGGAATAAGATGTTTCAGGAACGACCTTCAGATCACAGGCCAAAGCGTATATAAACAGACAGAGTCTCTTTGAACAGCCAGGGGGACAGAACACAATCAAGAAGATAGATGCACTCCCATTCTGTGTGTACAACGCTTCTGTTCGCCAGTCGGACTCGGCGTCCTGGATAATGCTCAGTGAGTCAATCCAGACATACCGAAAGCCCTGCCTCCGTGCGATGTCCATGGCGTCTATAATATTTTCAACAATCCATTGCGGGGCATCTCGTGGCCCGACTCCCGGAGCTGGCTCTCTATTGTTCGACAACGGTTTAAGTTCCCCAGCAGTAACTGAGCGTGAAATAAAAGCATTTTGATTGGCTGTCAATATGTGGACCCGAGGAAGCGCATTGGGTTTAGAAGGACCAACGTCTATGACACTTGTTGGTAGGTTGGAGAGAACAGGGCGTGGTGACGGCATGGAAAGAGTATAGCCATGCATGTCCTGAGCCAGCTCAAAGCCAGGTGATGAGCAGCTGAAAACCCAGTGGATTGATCTCTCATCGACGAACATTTTCTCGAGCACGGGTGTTATATTAGCTGGAGAGAGTTAGATTCTTTGCATCGCTGATCATGCTCACACAGGCCTTATCTGGAAACCCGTCGATATTCAACTTTTGCTGTACAGTAGGAATTTATAAATGCCCAGAATTCAGCAGCAGAAATCTCTGTAGCACCCCGAAAGCACTTGTATCCATCTTTGCAATCGGCCATCCAAAAATCTTCTGCCCTTCAGCATCTGTCGATCTTGCTGCTGTTCAGATCGTGAGTTTCGTGCTCTCTGATGTTATCTGGTATCCTGTTACCAGGCTGCCGGAAACCCCGGGCCTCCCTGCAGCCTCTAAACTCTCAGGCTCAATTTCACGTCAATCCGAGGAAGCCTCCCTGTAAGATCTGCTAGACCAAAGGAAAGGAGGATTGGGCGGGCCGGCAAGCTCTGGTCCCCAACTGGCCGCTTACTCTTCATGGGGGCTTGCAGGGACAACTAGCAGAGATGACAACCTTTGGCTGCGGCAGCGTTAATCATTGCGTCTGATGGCCATGGTAGAAACTTGGCTGACTGAAACATTTCTCGGCTTGGGAGGTTGGCCACCTCTGAAATGCGCAGCATCGTTCACACAACGAATTTGACATTTCCGTTGTAACAAGGCAAAGTGGCTATGTTGGGCTGGTATATGGGTAGCAGGAATGAGATTTGGCTGGTCACATGTAAAAACCAAAAAGGACTAACGTTGACTCTGTTTACGCAGAAAAAGATCGTGCAATTGCTAGGAGGAGTGCTGGACAGTTCACGGTGCTGGCTTTGTGACATACTTTACAGTTTGAACAGAGTATTCTATGTTTTTTGATCCCGTCTACCTATTCCCGATTGTTTTTCTCGGACCTTTCCCACTCCTCAATGCCGCCGCCGTCCTAGGCGCTCGTTGCCCTAGCCGCCGCCTCTCTGGGGGTGATGTTGGTGGTGGTGTTGCCCTGTCAGTGCCGACCAGAAATGCGGTCTCGATTCCCGACCTGCTGGACAGGCCCCTCTGCGTTGTTGCACGTGCATGTCAACCCCTGAAGGGCTCTGTTACACCGCAAGGACGATGAAAGCATGTTCCGTTCAAAGCTGCCATGGAGCTCACTCGATGTGTCATTAATATTGTTAGTCTTGGGCCTTCATTAGGTCTTGTCGTTGCGCGGAATGGTGAAATTTGTCATCTTAGCTTCGATTTGGTTACGTGCCAATGAGGATGTGCTGGCGCGGTATGAGCTGTTAACGGTTAAGCTAGGGAGGAACAAAATAGAGAATCGAAGGCACCAGCATCTCCCCAACCAGAACAGAATGACACCCAGGTGTGCTTGGTTGCCAGCTAGTGAGATCTTTATGCCTTGGTCACAATTCGAGCACTGAGAAGTGGTCTGCCTGGTGATGTTCACACCTGCAGTTCGCGTTGGATGACGAGCAATCCGATGGTGACTGGAGTTTCGATCGACGCTGAAACTTGAACCCACGCCGTTGATGGTGGGATGAAATCACGTCTTTGTAGACTGCAGGCTTTGTTAAGTGATGGGTTTCTGCGGAGAAGGAATCGGAAGAGCAGATGGAGCTTGTCGATGGAATAGAAAGAACGACAGTGAGAAATCGGACCGACGTTGGGTCTCTTCCATGACTCTGTTGATTTGCTCTGCCATGTTCACTGTTGCTCGAGTGTTTTTGGAGAAGCGGGAAGTCGAAATGGGAAACCCGAGAAATCACCAGGCCGCCATCATCACCATCATCACCACCACCAGTTCGTCAAATGCCTGACGTCGCTAATGAATTCTCAAACATGCGTGAGCACCAACAACACAGCTAACAGACACAGTGTTTCCTTCTCTGCCTGACTCTCTCCTGGTACCATTGCTCCCCGTTTGCGTCCACATCCGCTGCACCATAGCAGGTACATCGTTCCAAAGGCAGGTGGTGACAATTACTTGAATGAAAGCTTTAAAGTCGGCAAAGCCTTGCCCCACGACGTTGCTGATAGATCTAGAAACAAGACAGTGAGAGATTGTCCGCACCGTCGAAATTGGAGAGCCGTTGGAGAAAGGAGCGGAGGTGTCCAAACAACAACGCCAGAGCATTGCTTTACCGCTCTCCATAGACAGCAATTTAATTGAGGGTATGCGGGGGCATATCTCCAAATCGAAATCCAGACTGCAATCCCCTTCCCAAGGGACGTCCGGAAACAGAATGTCGGACTTCGTGGGTGCCAGAGAGCGAGAAATACTGTCCTTATTGACCGTGAACGATGCCAAACATGGGCGATAACACAGCTCAACATTCATTCACAATCCCCTCGAACCCTGTCTATGGATTCGTCGGCATTGGGGTGATGGGATACGGAATGGCAATGAATCTCCGCGCCAAGATTCCCCAGACAGCTGGGTTTGTGCTATGTGAGATAAACGAGGCAAGAAGGGAGCAATTTCTCCAGGAATGTAAAGCCTCTGTCCAAGTGGCGCACTCGCCGCGCGAGGTCGCCAAGAAGGCTGTGAGTGAGCTCCAATGCCAGGGAGACGGAATAAGTTGACTCAAGGGAAGCCATGATCATCCAGGACATTATCATCACCATGCTCCCACGGGCACCGCACGTCCACGAAGCCTTCACAAATCCCGAAACTGGCTTTATATCTGGACTATCATCCTCGTTGCCGCCACGCCTGTTCCTGGAATGCTCCAGTATCGACGTTGCGACATCAACATCCCTCGCCCAAAAGGTCTCCTCCACAGGACTCGCCCTCTTCGTCGATGCTCCAGTCTCAGGAGGTCCCCAAGGGTCTAACGCTGGCACTTTGACCTTTATGGTTGGGACACCCAACGAGCGGATTTTTGACGTCGTTAAACCGATTTTGGGGATGATGGGTAATGAAGAGCATATTTATCAGTGTGGGGGATTAGGTGCCGGGCTGGCAACCAAGCAGTTGAATAACTATTTGGGCTATGTCGGGTATTTGGGGCTTTGCGAAGGTGAGTTGTTATTTGGCATTGACTCGTCGCTGCCACATGAATATGGGCTTTGCTCTGTATTGGTCGAATGCTGAATTTAAATTGCTTCCCAGTGATGAATGCAGGTATGCTCTACGGCCTTGACCCAAAGATTCTGTCAAGTAGGTCCCTCAATCTCCTCCACACTCTTTCGTGCCATAGCGCTCTTCGACCTAGGTAAGAACGATCGTCTAACTAAGTCTCTTTTAGACGTTATCAACGCTTCGTCGGGCATGAACTGGAACTCCCTCCATCACAACCCCGTCAAAGGAGTGAACCCCGCCGCATCGTCCGCCCGAGATTTTAAAGGGGGGTTCACGACCGAGCTGGCTGGTGGCGTCATTGACGATGCAGTGGCACTTATGAATTCCGTCGGTGCAGGTACCGTCCTCGCCGACCCTGTGCAAAAGGTCTTCGTGGAGGCGAGGAAGAACGACAAGTGCAAGGGCATGGAGGCGAGAAGCGTGTGGAAACTGTTTGCCGAGGACGGTGGGAACGACGTGCGGAAACTACAATAGATTTATGGAGCGCCCATAACAATCTCTCTCTCGCGTTCTCCTGAGATTTCCCTCAATCCCTTCATCGCATGAAGACCTCTCAGGTGGAAGTGTTGTTGAAGCACAGTTCGAAGTCTTATATCGCCCTTTCTTGGATGTAAAGCTCTGCTGTGCTGTCAATCAGTCAACCACCAAGCCTCTCGCGGCACCTGGCGAACTCGGTCTCCATTCCTCTTGCTTGTCAATGATTGAATGAAGGGTTGCCAGCTAAGGGCTGTGCATATGAAGTATCGTTCGTGGAAATGGTGATCTAAAGCGCTGGAGATGGAAGGGGCTGTCTCCTTATGATAACCCTAGAATCTGGCAGAAACCAAATTTGATTACTGTACAGGAGGGTATCGTTCTATAATGTCAGACTTTTTCCCCCCAATAGTTGCCCGGGCATGCGAAACTCCCATATGCACAGCATGGTCCACCTTGGGTACCGTCCGCGTCACACATGCTCTTTCAATCCACACCATCATCATTAGCGCCCGCCTCCTCGTCGTCTTCATCTTCATCCTCCTCATCCTCCTCATCTTCGTCTTCATCTTCAGAGACTTCCTGCCCCAATTCCTTGAGCTTCTTCTTATCGGTAGACCTCTTCGCTTCGAGATCGCCAAAGACAACCAAAAGGTCGTCGAGTTCGGTCTGAACGTCCTTTCGAGCGGCCTTTTCTTTCTCGAGGTCTTCAGTGAGATGCTTTGATCGGCTCTCGGCATCCTGAGCACGACTCTCGGCCCGCTTGAGCCGGGCCTCCAAATTCTCGGTCTTGTTCTTGTATTCTTCGTGTGCGGTCTCAAGATCCTGGACATGGTTGGATTCAGCCTTCAGCAGCTGAGACTCCAACTCTGAAATTCTGCGTTGTAGGTCTGCAATCTCGGCCGCTTCTCTCTCCCGAGCTTTCTGAGCTTGAGCCTCCACCTCGCTCAGTTCTCGTGTGTGACGCTCATTCTGAGCGACCTGATCCCGCGCTGTTTCCTGCTCAATCATTTTCAGCCGTTGCTCAAACCTCTGGACTTCCAACTCATGCTGATTTCGCGCGGTTTCGACAGCAGTAAGATGTTCATTGCGTCTTCGGTTAAGCTCCTCCTCGTGATTCTTCAGCAGGCTACTCTTCTCCTGGGCGAACCCGTTTTGCATTTTGTTGATTTCGTCCTCGTGGTTGTCTTGCAAGCTCTGATTTATTTGCTTGATTCTAGATAGCTCAACAGTAGCAGACTCTCGTGTCCTGCGGTGATCGAGCTCCTCTTGTTCTAGCCTCCTTTTCAGCTGCAGCAATTCATTGTTGGCGGCTTCCAAGGCTCGTTTCTGTTCCTCCACTTGAGCTCTGAGGCTGTCGACGAGATCTCGAGAGATGCCCTTCTGAACGCCGTTGCTGACAATGGAAACCTCAAAATTCGGATCCCGGTCAATGGCTCGTAAGAATCGGCTGTAATTGTCTTTCAGGAAGTCAATAAACATCTTGTCGAAGAACACTTCCGGCAAGCCGCCATTGCCAGTCTGCGGGAGGACTTCGAAATCTCTGACGAAGACATTTTCTCGAAGCTTTGTCAGTCGATCCACATAAGCCTCCCTGCCTAGGTTTGTTGTCAGAAGTCCCTGAAGTGTACTCCGCGGGACGGGAGAGTCTTTTGTTGAGAATTCATAGATTATTCCCAGCACGAATGCGCAGAGACCAGCAACGAGAGGCATCGAATTTTTGGTGATCTTGACAGCGGCGATGAGACCTTGCACATTGCTGCCTTCTGCGAGCAGGTCGTTGACTGCTTCTGGGTCTTCGAACAACCATATAGACAACAACATCAAATAGCCGAGCAATGCGCGCTCATCCTCCACATGCTGTACCCCAGCAACCACGTTGCTGGTTATGCTCTGTATGAAAGTGACCACCTCTTCTCCACTTTCGGCATCACCTTCTGTTACCTTCAAAGCCATCTCTTTGGTCTCAACATTGTCGTGGAGGAGGTGCAGCAAAAGTACTGCAGCCATCCATTGTTGATAGGGATCGGAGTTGTTGCGTGATCCAGGAGGTTCAAGCAAGACGCTAAGCATGTTAGGAATTGCATCATCGCCTGCTTTGTGTCCATCAATAGCCCTCCGCAGCACGTGAATTCGTATGCCTGCATGGCCGTTCATGAATGCTTGAAGGCAGGAACATCCCGCCAGTCGGACATCGAACAGAGCTAGAGGAGCAGGCTCTAGTGCTAACTCTAGAAGTGACTCAATTACGTTCTGAGTCCGGAAGGTAGGGTTCTTCGGCTTGAGCGGCCTCTCACTGATGGCATTTGACGGGTGACCATTAGTAGTAGGGCTATCGGGCTCTTTAATCTGAATTTCAAGGTCTCCGAATCTTTCCTGGAGACTATGATTTGCTTGGATGATGTCGCCACACGTTTGTAATGACTTTGTCCGCACACCCGTGTTGAACGCAGGATGAAAGGCAATTCGCAGGATAACGTCTAGTACTCCGGTTCCCCAAAATGCTTGTTGATTGACCACAGTTCCTTGAGCACCCTGAGCAAGGAATAACTGAATGACCCCCAATAAGCCCCATACGTTCATATCCCGTTGTGGTTTCAACCATTCTGAGCCGTCATCTCCAGAGTTCGCTTGTTCCACGGTGGCCGACAACAGCTTCTTGATCTTCAGGATCCCACTGACCTCTCTGAAGTAAGATTGGTTCGAAGTATTGAGATTTAGAAGATTGGCCAAAAGTGACAGGCAATCTTGAACAGTGGTAGAGCCGTGCGTAAGACCGCCGTCGCCATCAATCAGAGCGAATATACGGTCAAAGGCGTTCTCAAAGGCCACTACTTTCTGTATTTCCCCAGATGTGGGGGTCAAGGCTACCAGCAGAACCAAAGCCTCATTTCGAATTGCTTCGCGTCTGTCATCCAACATATTTGTTATTCGAGAGACGCCCAGAGGCGCCGAGAATATAGCCTCTTGAGTTCGCTGCGGTCGTGCCGTGGATATATGGAAAAGAATTTGGAGGACGTATAGGCGTAAGTAGAACTCATTAGGCTCGAGTAAGTCCAAGAGTGCGGTGATGTTGTCCTGTCTCTGTGTAAACTCGTCGGCCAGCCACAGACTGATCTCCTCCGAAGCCTCTGTTGACTTCTCATCCGGCTCAAACAGCATCAATAGCGTCTCCAGCAGAATCTTGATTGTGTCTGAATCGTCTCCATCTCGTCTCAGTCCGGCAATGAGATCTCTCAACGCGCCGGAGGCGACCGAAGCAGGGTATAGCTTTGCGAAGCTGCGCAGACCGAGGATAGCGGCCCGTCGATCTTCCAGCAAAGTGGCGCTTGAAAGGCGGCTGCTGAGCGTCTGGATGGTGTCCGTGGCAGTCTGCCGTGCCGGAGCCTGTGCTTCGAGGATTCGCATCATCTTGAGGGAAGGTTCATTGTCACGAACACGTTCGTTTTATTGTGGCTGAACATCTCCTTGCCATGGGTTAAGAAGCTGCTCTGCGCATGCTCGGCTCCAAAGGCAGGCGGTCGTCAATGGTGTCCGGCATCAGGCTTCAGGCTTCAGGCTTCAGGCTTCAGGCTTCAGGCTTCAGGTTTCATGCAACACGTTCTGAACTTTGGCAGAACCGACAACTTGTCCGCAATTGCAGGCCAAGAATTATTGTGAGGATAAAAGCGGCAAGATAAATTAGCCTGGCGAGCTCACGAGCTGCCAGCCTTGTCAGTAAAAGGGGGGCAAGGCTACGTGGTTGGCTTTTCCTCAATCTCTACCGAGGCAAATAAAGCCTGACCCCTCTCTCCCTAGGCAAGGTGTCCGTAAATCGGCTGTAACTACTACTCAGTATCGCTCTCCAATAATGATAATTTGGAGTTAATTGAAGAAATATGTACTTGATGTACGGAGTAGATGCCTCTTGGCTTGTGACCTAGATTCAAAATTTCCGCATCAAAGATAGCCGAGCCTCGATCAGGTCAAAAAATGTTCAAATCTCCTTATACAATCGATATTCCTCTGATCGATGTCAATACTTTCGTCTTTCAGTCTGGAAGTAGAGCATCGCTTGAGGCACCTCAATACTTCGACGCAGACACGCCAGCAAAATGTTTTAGTCTGGCGCAGGGTGAAACCTATTCTAAAAGGGTTGCTCTTGGGTTGCAAAGACTCGGGCTTCGAACAGATGACCGTGTTCTACTGTACTCCAACAACCGACTCTTCTTTCCAGTTGCGATCTGGGGAACAATTGCCGCGGGATGCATTTTTACTGCAGCCTCTCCAACGGCATCGTCGTCAGGTTAGTCGTTCTTCCAGGAGTTCTGACAGGAGGCTTTGATTTAAGAAGGGCGCATCCACTGACTTTGTGCTTTAGAATTGGCATACCAGTTACGAGATTCTGGGGCAACATTGCTACTCACTGGACCAGACAGGGTTGACGTCGCTCTCAGTGCTGCAGTCGAGGTAGGGCTGTCGCGGGATAGGGTATCAGTCTTCCATGATCCAGATGAGGATCTATCGTCGTATAATCTTCACGACTTGAAGTCATGGACAGAAATCTGGACATCTGAAGAAGCTGTCCGACATTGGTCTTGGAAACGGCTCTCCACCCTCGAAGAAGCTGACAAAAAGACGGCAATTATCAACTATTCCAGCGGGTGAGTTCCGGTGAGAAGCCTCTTGAGGCTCCAGGAAGTGCTTCTCGCATTGCTGACAGCTCTCGAGAACCACTGGGTTGCCTAAAGGGGTGCAGATCTCTCACTATAATCTTGTCTCCAACTCTGTGCAGCTTTTGTTCAAGAGAGCTTTGGTTGGAAGAACACCACAAGCACGTGCTCGCAAGGAACGACTCGATGTCTCGGGTGAGCGATGGCTGGCGCCTCTGCCTATGTACCACGCTTATGTGAGTGATCAGTCTCTCGGAGGCGGAATTCGGTACAGTCCAGGCCACTCCTGATAAACTAACATTGATGGCAGGGTCAAACCTACTACTGTGTAAATGCCGCAGTGCTAGGGGCAAAGGTGTTCATCATGTCAAAATTCAACGTCACAAAATACTTACAGTACCTCGACGCGTATCGTATCACATTCATGACAGGCGTGCCGACCGTCATCGCAATGCTGTGCAAGCAAGACGCTCCGGAAAGATACAATCTGAAGTCTCTCGAGCAAGTCGTCAGCGGCTCCGCACCTCTTGATCCTAAACTAGGGAGGCTTCTAGCAAGATTGTATCTTCGACCAGGCGTACAGGTCAAGCAAGGCTGGGGAATGACAGAATGCACGTGTTCTGCAACGGGCTTCTCACCAGATGAGGAAGATGACGGACGTTCGATTGGTTGGCTGAATCCTAATTGTGTTGCAAAAATTGTCCCTGTGGATGAGGAGTTGAGCAAATCTGCTGTCATGGAACAGCAGGCTGGAGAAATATGGTTATCTGGACCAAACGTCATGAAGGGATATTGGAATAAGCCTGAGGCCACTGCAAACACGATTGTCGACGAAGACGGCCACCGTTGGTTGAGGACTGGCGATATTGGATACTGTGATGATCAAGGGAAATTCTATATCGTGGACCGTCTAAAGGCAAGTCTTCAACCTAGGGAATCGGCGAAATTATGCATACCGTTCTTTAGCTTATTGATCCACCAGGAACTTATCAAGATCAAGGGCCTTCAAGTTTCGCCAACAGAGCTTGAGTTGACACTTCTCAATCACCCTGAGGTGACAGACGCCGCTGTTGTGGGTGCTAAAATGTAGGAAGCCGCGCTATTTCCAAACTTCGCTGTAGTATGAACTAACTTCACACTGACAGAGACGGGGAGGAATACGTTCGGGCTTTCGTTGTCCGCAAGAATGATACACTCACGGCAAAGGAACTGTTCGAGATGATCCAGCAGAATTTCGCTCCCCACAAATGGCTAACCGGAGGGATCTACTTCATTGACGAAATTCCAAGAACAGGCAGTGGGAAGATCATGAGGCGAAAGCTACCTCAAATGTCGTCGGCTCGTCCTTTGAAGTTGTGATGATTTTTCGGGGCCCAAAGCAACCCATTTAAGCGTTTCGGAGACCTTGTGACCCGACTCATGAAAATCAAAACATTGATCGATCAGTTGGCGGCCGCCGCCCTTTACAGCTGCTGTCTTAGGTAGAGTGATATTACATGGAGGTCGACAAGCTGGAAAGACGGAAGTGAATTTGCACAGTACTGGGTACATAGTAGATGCAATAGATGTTAGATTTTGCTTGTGGCCCACCCTAATTGCGCCATACGACTTTGTACTCCGGACTTCAAATAAAATTGCCAAGCCTGCGCCAACCGGATTTGGCCAAGGCAAGGGTCCAGATTCAGATTCGGTCGGGCTCGAAGACGCAGTTCCTTCCAGGAATTCATCACCCTCCCATCAATTTGCATCTCTATTGATTGTCGCCCAGCTTAACATGGCTTCTTCATGGTGACTTGGATCTCACACAACCCTCGAGTCCTCTTCCGTGCACAGCGCAAGTGTCGTTCCTTTGCTAAACCATCTGCCGCGAACAGGAGCGTAATTCTACGCATTTCTCCATCGACGGCGACACAACCTGCTAGGCTTATCCTTTCCTTCCCTTGATTTTTCGCGGAATACGATCGAGTCAAGATGGGAGTCCCAGCTCTTTTCCGATGGCTCACCAGAAAGTATCCCAAGATCATCACCCCCGTGATTGAGGAACAACCATATGAGATCGATGGGGTGAAATATCCCGTGGACACCACCAAACCCAATCCGAATGGAGAAGAAATGCACAACCTCTATCTTGATTTCAATGGCATTGTACACCCTTGTTCACATCCCGAGAACAAGCCTCCTCCGGCAAATGAGAGTGAGATGATGTTGGAAATCTTCAAGTACACCGACCGCGTTGTGAACATGGTGCGTCCAAGGAGGCTATTGATGATTGCGATTGGTAAGTGGATACTCTTCCCCTTTAACCTGTTCGAATTGCGATTCACAAATGGATACTAACATAGATCAGATGGGGTTGCTCCTCGAGCAAAGATGAATCAACAACGAGCGCGCCGTTTCCGGTCAGCAAGAGACGCAAAAGAGGCGGACGAAAAGAAAGCGGAATTCCAAACACTCCTACGTCAGCAGCAGCGTGATAGAGATGAAGATGAAGACGAAGAAACAATGGACGACGTAATCAAGAAAACATGGGATAGTAATGTCATCACACCTGGCACGCCTTTCATGTTCATTCTCGCTCAATCTATTCGATACTGGGTCCAGTGGAAGCTGAATACGGACCCTGCCTGGGCTCAACTGAAGGTCATAATCTCAGATGCCAGTGTGCCCGGAGAAGGTGAGCACAAGATTATGCAGTTCATTCGTTCCCAACGCTCAGATCCCGCATATGATCCAAACACAAGACACGTCATGTATGGACTTGATGCAGACTTGATCATGCTGGGCATTGCTACCCATGAGCCTCATTTCCGGGTCCTCCGAGAAGACGTCGAACTCAGAGATGCCAGAGCCAAAACCTGCAGAATCTGCGGTCAGCAAGGCCATTATGCCGAGAATTGCAGAGGCGACGCCAAGATAAAAGCAGGCGAATTTGATGAAAAAGGTACTACGGAGGAGCTGAAGCCATTTGTCTGGCTAAATGTGCCCATACTACGTGAGTATCTTGGTGCGGAGATGTTTGTTCCCGGTCAGACTTTCCGTTTCGATCTTGAGCGTGCCCTCGATGATTGGGTATTCATGTGTTTCTTCGTTGGCAATGACTTCCTGCCTCATCTCCCAAGTCTCGATATCAAAGAAGACGGTATCGACAAGCTCATTGCTATCTGGAGAGACAATATCCCGATCATGGGAGGGTACTTGACCTGTGATGGCAAAGTCGACCTTGCACGTGCCCAAATCATTCTGCAAGGTCTGGCGAAGCAAGAGGATGCAATCTTCAAACGCAGAAAGGAAATAGAAGACAAACGAGCACGGAATGAGCAGCGCCGTAACCAGGCAAACGAGGCTCGAGAGGCCCGTGCCGCCAAGAGACGCCGTAGCTCGCCTGACTACAGCAAGGGTAGCAGACCGGATGCTCGGGTTCCTACCGGACCTCAAGAGACCTTTGAAGCTACGAACTTCCCAGTTTTGGACTACAACTCCGTTGTGAACAGAGCTGCCGTGGATAAAACCCTTGCGTCGAATAAGAGCGCAGCAGCAGTCCTAAAAGAGCAGATGCTTGCTAGGAAGGCTGCCGAAACACCAACTAAGAATGGCACTAATGACGCCAATGGGACCCCCAATTCCTCGGGTTGCAGTCCATCGTCAATACTGGGCAAGCGAAAGGCTGCAATAATGGAGGCAGAGTCAGAGAGCGATGCCACCCCTGCATCGGCAGTGAGCAAGCGAAAGGGGGCATTGATGGAGGAAGAGTGGGACAGTGTTGGCACTCCTGGAAGGAACACACCGATTGAAAAAAAGACTTACAACAACGGAGATCCGAACAACCCGCCCCCAGACACAGTCCGATTGTGGGAGGAGGGTTATGCTGACCGCTACTACGAGCAAAAGTTTCATGTCGACCCGAAAGACACCGGCTTCCGCCACAAGGTAGCCGAAGCTTATGTTGAAGGGTTGTGCTGGGTACTTCTCTACTATTTCCAAGGATGTCCATCCTGGACTTGGTACTATCCTTACCACTACGCTCCATTCGCTGCAGACTTTGTCGACATTGACAAAAAGGCCGTCAAGTTCGACAAAGGCACACCGTTCAGACCGTATGAACAATTGATGGGTGTGCTCCCAGCATCTTCAAATCATGCCATCCCGAGCGCTTTCCACCCACTCATGACCGACCCAGAATCCGACATTGTCGACTTCTACCCAGAGGAGTTCGACCTCGATCTCAACGGCGCAAAGCAGTCCTGGAAAGCTATTGTGTTGTTGCCGTTCATTGACGAGAAGCGACTCCTTGCAGCCATGGCCACCAAGTATCATTTGTTGACAGATGACGAACACGCCAGAAACGAGCGGGGACATGATGCTCTGATAATATCAGACCAGAATCCTTTGTACGACATCTTGGCCATGAAGTTCTACTCGAAGAAGGCCAAGGGTGGTCCGAACACTGTGAAGTTGTCCATGCAGAAGAGTCAACTGGCCGGAGAGGTCACCAAAAACGAAGATTTCCTGCCTCACATGGATCTGGTGGGCCCGCAAGAAGATATCAGGTTGGAACCTGAAGTCGATGATGATCGGTCTTTGAACGTGCATTTCACGATGCCGCCTCCTACCCATGTTCACAAGTCCATGTTGTTCCCAGGAGTTGTCTTGCCTCCTCCTGTTCTGGACAAGAGTGACTTAGCCATCCTCCGATCAAAGGCTAGGACATCGGGAAGGGATTTTGGCGGTGCGCCTCTGTATGATAATACTCGACGTGATCGCCTTGACACACAGAATCGGGGTGGACGCATTAACTACGCTGTCGACAGACCTCCCTTTGATGCAGGCCCTCCCGGTATGCCACCACCGAGCCATTGGCCTCCAGGCATGCCTCCCCCACCCCCACCAGGCTACGGTGGCCAAAGTGGGTACAATCGCAATTCGCCGTCCACGAACGGATACGGAGGGTACGGCAGCCACACTGCTCAAGGCTCTAGGGGTCAGGATCAAGGTTACTATGGAAACCAGGGACAGGGACAATACTATGGCGGGCAGGCACCAAATCAATACCTCGGTAGCAATGGACAATATCAGCAGAATGGTGGAAGGTCTTTCAGTGATGGTTATTATCAAGGTCAAAACCGGGGGCCGCCAGCGAGGGACAACCGAAGCGGAAACTATAACGGCGGCGGATATGGCCAAGGTGGCTATGGTCGACGCTAGGTAGTGGTAATCTAGCACGATCATCTGTACGATCAGGACTGGGATGACGTGAGGGAAGGGTCAAGAGTCGAGACATAAAGGCGTGAGAGAACGTGGAATCGGTGTCAGGCCGCTGTTAGTTGGGCTAGGCTCCCACGGCATCTGGAAATTGTGATCGATGGACTGCTTAGGCTTTAGCTAATTTGGCCTTCTCAGAATGTCAAAAGGGAAAGAAAATTTCATCGCGTTAAAGCCGTCATGTTCGTCTAAACTTCGATCCGCTTCTCTCTCAGACATAGTCGACATTGATTATTAAGAGATAAGACTAAGTAAGCCGATGGACAAAATAATACCACATTCTCTGTCAAATTAACAAACTCCAAACTCACAGAACTTCTATCTCTTTTCACTGCTACCTTCTAAAGTAATAGCGGATAATATTGACCACTTAGTAGCACCTAAATTTAAGATCCTATCTACGAAAATAAAACTGTAGAGGCCACAAAAACAAAACGATGGCGATGGGACTCGAACCCACAGTCTTTGCCACACTCCAAGCGCCAGGTATATAACCGGAAAGCAACGCCTTACCATTAGGCCACGCCACCGTGGAGAGCGGTGTTGAAGAATCACATTTATTTGTGTGCGATTCGTGAGCCAACTCAGGAATTTATTTTGAAAGATAAAATATATATCCTTTGACGTTGTGTCGGCTCTCTTTCGCGGTTCGGGGTCGTAAATCGGCAAAAGCCTGAAGACAAGGGGTGAGGGGTTAGGGCTCGGGATTAGATAATACTCTATTTCCACTGTACCCCTCGTGGGGAATTTTACCTACCTATATTAGTCGAGAACGAAAAACCTCTTCCCAAAAACTGTTCGATTCTAGAGGGTGAGCGAAGGCCGCGTTAACCTGAGCTTGAACTGAGCCTCACGGAGGACTGCCTGAGCACCCCCTGAGTAACACTCTGAGCAGCGCCCTGACCCTACAAGGGGGTCCTAATCTGGCTCCCTGCGATTGGCTACACCTGCCTCTTAGCCAGACATCTGTTTCAGATATGCCTCAGTGAACCCAGCAAATCCCAGCCTCGACGCTGCTGCTTAATATTTCTTATGCATGACATTCTTCTATCCATTCCTAGCAACAATGATGCATGAAACTAATAGCTTCAGACAGCTGAGTCGTGCCTGTCCTATTCTTCTAAGAAGTGACAGCACTGTTGAACTCTCTAATGCGATCTGGGGCGGCGGTGTGAGCCACACGCGTTATGTGACAGGGCTCAATTTCGGCTCAATTACAGCGTGAGCAGATCAGGCTGGCCGCTCCTCTGCTTAGCCATGCTCAGTCCTGTTTTCGGTCCTCCACTCTAATTAGATATTTACGCCTTGGGCGAAGGTATCTCTCCTCGAGGAATTTGGTAACTGTGATGGCATGGTACAGAGATGAACGGAAATGGCTCCAAAGCTCTGTGGATTACACCATGCGAAGAGACTGAGCTGACGAACGAGAAGGAAGACTCGCTGGTAAGGACAATGCTATATGCTTGCTAACAAGGATAAGGCTACGCTAGCACAAATCTGGTGGTTACCTGCGTGGCGTTCAAGGTGAGTCAACTAATGCTCGAGTGCCTGTCCTGTGCCTACAGCGGATCCAGGAGTGACTGTGTGGCGTCCTGGTTCCTTCGAGATGGCGTCCTGAGTGTCCCGAACCAGATCCGTGACAGTAACTTTACACGGCTGTATCAAGGGACCGGTTTGAGTATCTCAAAGTCCCAAACCTGCGCTCCTCGCAAAACGAGTGCATGCCACTTCTCACATTTAATCCTCTTCGTGTTGGATGGATCAGGTATCATAGTCACTATACCCTCATCCGTTCACGCCATCCTAGCTTTGCTTTGAACATGTAGTGCATTCCATGCCTAGTCCTTGGGTCTCTGAAAATGCTGAGGCGGTCCATCCCTATGGTGCTGCTGTGGATTTGGTCTCATTACGACTGAACCTGTTTGTTCATCGACGCAACCAGGGTCAGATCCTGCAGAGATCTTGTTTGTCTCTGGCATATGGATCAATAACACAGTCCACCGGCAAGTTGTGAGACTTTGCGATTCTGAGATGAGGCAAATCACACTAAAGGTTGAGGGCGACTGGGCAACAGTCTCACGGAAAGATGGCTTTGCGAAGCAATGAACACCCTGGTATTGAGAGTCTCCCCTCATAACACTGGTATTCATTCATGTACCGAGCATGAGGATATTGCTTCTCGCGAGGTCCGCGACACAGAAATGGATCTTTCCAATACATTCCCGACTGTCCTCTCCTTCACAACAGGCCCATCCGTTCTTTATAACACCAACGATGCTTTCTCGCCCACCGGTCTCCTGATGAGCAAGGCTGTCGCAGCTATTCTAGTGGTGATTGTCACACACCTCTCTAGGTGCGATTTTATGTGCTTTAGCAAACACGTAAATCTTAACGAGTATATATAATTACAATGGCAAATATCTAGTAGAGATCTCGGTTCAGCCCATTACTAGTGTAACAAGGCAAAGTGGCTGTGCTGGGATTGTATTGGGGGGTAGCAGAAGGAGAGTTGTCTAGTCACATGTTAAACCAAAATGGGTTAAGGGGGAGTGCTGAAAAGTTCACAGTGCTGGCAGTGTACCATTCTTTACAGTTTGACAGAGTATTCCATGTTTTAAATGCCGTCTACCTATCCCTGGGTGTTTCATCGGCCCTTTCCTACTTCTCAATGCCGTCGGCGTACTAGGCCCTCGCTGTCCTAGCCACCGTCTCTCTGGGGGTGGTGTTGGTTGTGGTGCTGCCCTGTCAGCGTCAACCAGAGACGCGTTCTCGATTCCCGACCTGCTGGACTGGCCTCTGTGCGTTGTTGCACGTGCATGCCGAACCCTGAAGTGCTCTGTTACGCTAGAAGACAAGACTAGACTCTTCGATATATTCGTTGGGGAGTAACTCCAAGAGTGCTCTCCAAGTGCTTAGTAATATTCGGCTAACGGCTTAGCTGCTGTCGCTTACGAGTAATCTACTGTAGGTATATTACGCATATAGGTTAAGCTAAAAAAATCCTGAGGTTAGTAGTAGGTCTTGTAGATCTGTAGCTCCAAGCACCAACATTCATCCTTCGCGGAGATATTCTGCATAGCAATTGTGTACGTTATTGTCATAGCTATTCATTTCACATCTCGTGGTCGTCAGGTCTCCAAAAGAAGAACTATCTCGCAGACCCATCAGCCCAAAATCTTCTTGCCTCTCTGGATCTCCCACTTTGTTGGTCAATCGCTGGAGAACCCTAATTATCGGCCATTGTTAAAACCATGCCGTCGTACGTGTCATATCCGTTGCGTCCCACTGATTCGGAGACCAGAAAATTGCGGAATTCAATATTCTTCCTTGGTGGTGAGTGTCTCACGCATATGGTGGTCAACTCTCATGTGGAGAGTAGAGTGTCGGCTGGCTAAGTGACCAAGCAGGCACCCACAGTCGGTCCATGTCAGCTCAGACAATCGGTATATGCCTAATAATTCTTGATCAGAAGTTGGCGGGTTTTGCGTGCTCACAGGTGAGCAGTGTTCTCATAGCTGCGGCTGATCCAGGTCTCAAGTTGGTTCTGGTCGCGAGGGATGAATCTGACCTTGAACGGTTTGGGCTGGGTGACCATACTTGTCGGCACCGAGTTGCACTCGATAGTGTCAAGGATTGGCCTGTCATTTGGATTGGTGGCCTCGTGGATGTGAAAGGCCAGAATCAGGCGAGTGAAGATGATGTACAGCTCTCGATTGGCAAGGTGAGCACCCGCGCACATCCGGGTACCGGCCCCATAGCCAAAGTGCTGAGTGCCTTCTCCAACACCAGACTGTCCCATAAAGCGCTCGGGGATAAATTCCATGGGTGACTTGAAGTGCGCAGGATCGTGGTTGGCGGCCCACATATTCTACGATATCAATCATCAGCGCGACAGGGAATAAAGCCTGCGGGAGGTCCAATCTCGTACCATCAAGAAAGGTGTCCCGGCAGGGATGACAGCACCCTTGTAAGTGATGTCACTGACACTTTGGCGATAGAAGGACAAATTGAGTGTCGACCAGAAGCGAAGGACCTCCTAGGTCACCAGTCAGTTCTGATTTGGTGCAGGTGTATTCGCTTTGCAGTTCTGATACTCACCTTCACGAACGAAATAACATATTCCGACGTCTCTTCGTACAAGCACGCATGCCATGGGTCTTGGCCAGGGTACGATTTGATGATTTCGTCGTACATTCGTGCTTGGATCTCCTGGCCGTGTGGTGAGGAGAGGTAAGCGATTGTCATGTTAATATTACCAGGTAATGTGTCAAGACCGGCAGCGACCATGGTCAAACAGATCGATTTGAGTTCATCTAGCCTCCAGTCAGCCAACAGCAGCCGACAACCAGCACGGTTTGGATCTTACTTTCAGCTAGTTTGGCCTCTGGATCTTTCAAGACGTTGCCAGCGATGCAAGGGTGGTCAGTACCGTTCGCGATCCGCTCCTTCAACTGGTTGAAGAAGCTAAGAATGTATTCGTCCCTTCGTCCTCGGAATTTGATGGCATTCGACTTGTAGCCTGGTAGAATTCGGAGCAAAGGCACGTAGTCTTGCCAGTTGTGCGCAATGCCTCGGATGTTCCCCAGCTCTCGCTCTACGGCGACGACTTCATTGAGAGTGCTGTCTTTGACAGTGCCCTGAATGCGGATGCCGTAGTTCAAAGTGAGGCTGATGTTCAGGGAGAAGCGTTGGAAATAACCGTTAGGGTCGATGTCGTAGCCATTTTTGATGTCCTGTACCAGTTCGTTGATGCTGGCAGTGGATTCAAGGTCAATGAATGGGAGGTATGTCTGAACGGCCTGTCTGTTCAGGGCCGTAGCTGCTGCCTTACGGGCTTTCTTGAGGGATTCAGTCCATGGCGAGGTTCCCAAGGTATACACTCCCTGGGTTTGTGAAACCACATCATGGAATGTCCAGAATTTTGGTCGAGAAATGAGTGCCGACTGATTCTTAATCCACAGCTCCTTCACAGACTCGAATGAGTTCGCATAAATGAATCTCTGGGAGACATGAAGAGTCAATATGATCTAGCGACATGCAACATACGATCCCGGAGGCTTCACTTACGCGGTTGCCCAGGCGAACTTGGAAGACATCGCCATATGTCTTGGCCAATCGAGCGCAATTTCTGGCGTGATACTTGCCCAGAAGGATCAGACTCCCAAAGATGGGCACCCCGGGAAGCTCGGGAAGGTTTTTGATTTTAGGGATATCGGTTTTATTGGCCCACCTAATGAGTAGCGCAATCACAGAGGCAACAAAGAAGAATCCGATCGCTGTATGCATGTTGGAGAGAAATATGGCACCTTGAGAAATCTCTTTGCTGAGGTCGTTCAATGGGGAAAATGCGCCCCAGAACAAGACTGACTAGAATGAGACTGACAAGCCATGAATAAATATCGACTGTTTAAATCGCCGACTGCATCTGCCGTTGTCTAGCTGGAATGCTGGTCCATGCTGTTATCTCCGTGCCATCCAGCGACGCAGCGGTCTCCAAGTTGGGGGGCTGCAGTCGTCCATTTCGGGTGCGTATCAACAGATCTGCAGATGACCTGCATACCGAACGTATCCTTAGGTCAGCATAGTAAGCCTGAACGGGCTATCAAATGTGTCAATAATCCTCCAATTCGGGGAAGCTGATTCTTACCATAGCCGTGGAGAGCCTTATCGACATCTGCAACGCCTAACGTGTCCAGGTCGGCGCCAGCATGTGGACGTATCCTCAGGAGTGCGGGTGCTAGAACATCGTTGTGAGAGCCCCTTGAACTTGAGGATTTGGTATTTTGGCTCATTTTGGACCCGTACAGGCAGTTGGCATAGGAAAACATGGCGGCCTCCAAGATACGTTTAGCAATACTGGATGATTACCAGGGGATTGCTGCAGCCAAGTTCTCTCATCTGCAGCCCAAGTTTGAAGTCACCACCTTTTCTGATAATATCAATCCCAGCGGCAAGGCGGAAAAGGATGCCCTAATCGAACGCCTTCGACCTTTCACGGTTATTTCTACGATGCGCGAACGAACACCATTGTCGAAAGATGTGATCACATCTCTTCCCAACCTCAAATTGGTCCTGACTACAGGAATGAAAAATTCAGCAATTGACATGGCTGCCTGTGCTGAACAGAACATAATCGTTGCCGGTGCAAGGGGAATCGGAAAGTCCGGTGAAGTGAATTCGCCGACGTCAATTGATTCCACTTGCAACATTGCTGGGCACTCATCCTGGGTATTGCTAGGAACATTGCTCGCGACGATGCGGCTGTCAAGTCTGGCCTCTGGGAGATTCCTCCGGCTATAGGCTTGAAGGGAAAACATTAGGTCTATTGGGTTTCGGCAACTTGGGTGCCAGAGTTGCCTCAGGAGGTGTGTGGGCCTTTGGGATGAAGATTCTAGCATGGTCTAGCAATCTCACCCAGGAGGTTGCAGAGCAGAAGGCCAAATCGTTTGGTCTTCCCCCAGGGACATTCAAGGTGGCCGCTAGTAAAGAAGACTTGCTCAAGGAAGCGGACGTGTTAAGCATTCACTATGTTCTGTCTGAACGAAGCCGAGATATCTTGGGAGAGCGAGAGCTCGCTTTGTTGAAACCCTCCGTACTCTTGGTCAACACCTTAAGAGGGCCTCTTGTCACTGAGAAAGCTTTGTTGGAGACTTTAAATCGCGGCAGGATCAAGGGCGCGGCTTTGGACGTGTATGAGGTAGAGCCGTTGCCGATGGATAGCCCGTGGCGAACAGCGGCTTGGGGAACGGATGGCAGAAGCCAAGTGCTGCTCAGCCCACACATGGGATACGTCGAAGAAGGAGCCATGAATAGATGGTATGAGGATACAGCGTTGAACTTGGAGCCATGGCTTGAGGGAAAGGATATCCCGACAAGGTTCAACTGAAAATCACTCTCGAGGCTGGATTATGTGAGAAATTCACCATTTTGAGAAAATTTGTTCACTCCAGAATACCGGAATTGGGAAAGAGTTGATTTAATGGTTAGTATGCGAGATATCCGAGACGCCTCCCTGATCGGATATCTTGAGAGTCTCGATTCATTTCGAAATGTCGAAATCAGACACAGATCCAAGATCCCCAAATTGGAGCACGGTTGAACGAAGTCATGCCAGATCCTCTGGCATCTTCGATGGGGTTCGGCCTTGCATGGATAATGCGAGTGGGCTAGGATGAAGGAGGTCCATGTTCAAAGAGTACAGTGGCCTTCTCGAAACAAACTGTAAAAGATATCAAATTAGAATCAAGAGACTAACGTTACCGATCCATGCTCTGGTCTGTGTCAATTAGCGGGAATGAACTCACTTGTTCTCGAAAGACGTGGTCATGTACAGTTCTCAGCAACAAACACCAGCCCCTTACATCGCGTTCTACCTATTCGATATCCTAAAGCGACATCTTTTCAGATTCAAATAAGGTTCACCGTGCACTTGAAAGGCAAGACTAGAGTTGCAACGCTTACAGGCCAAGGAAACTTCCATTAGTACATAAGGCCGAAGAAGCAGTTTCTATAAAGCATGCATATAGTTTGTCTGCCCCATCTATTCGTGTTCTGCAGTGATAGCACATATGTCCGCAGGAAGAGATAGAACCGCAAAATAGCACGCAAAGGCTAACTAGATTCACTTAGACATGTCCACCACCAGCTTTCCGCTTGCGCCTTTGTGGTAGTCCTCCACCAGTTCGTTTAGTTGCTCCAATTTATAGGTAGTTACTTTGGCCCTCACGCCCTCCTTTGCTGCGAAGTTCAACATGGCTCTGAGCTGTCGGTTTCTGCCAACCAAGACTCCAACCATGGAGATGTGGCGAAACACGAGGTCTCGTGGTTGCATATGAAAACCTTCCTTGGGAAAACTAACGGTCACACAAATGCCATGATTTTTGACCAGCTTCATCCCATATTCGAAAGCTTTCTGCGATTCAGGAAGAATCAATACCCCGTCAACACCCTTTTCCCCTTCCAAGCTAGGCTCAGGAGACCCCAAACTTGACACACGAACATCCTCTGCAGATTGCTGCCTTGCGTCAACAATGGTAACACCGTTCCCTAGGGGCCCCAGGTCCTTGACAACATCCTTCAAAAGGGCCAAAGCCGGGTCAGACGCTTCAATGGCTATGACTTTGCATCCCAGCTTAATAGCGAACTGTACTCCCAGGTGACCAAGGCCACCACCAGCACCAGAAATGGCGATCGTGAGCCCTTTCCCACCTCCTGCCTCCATCTGAACTCCCGCTCTCTCGAGTGCATTCCAGATAGTCAGGCCGGCGCACATGAGTGGAGCGGTATCAACAGCCGTCATACCTTCTGGCATGGGAGCGATCTGGCGAGAATCCGCAATGCAATATTCCTGAAAACCGCCATTGGCCGAGAGACCTAGATTGCCAGCTTTGGGACACCATACCCCGTACTTTTCTGGGTCACCGTCGTTATGGCGGCATTCGTAACACGACCCGCAAGGATGGAAAGCCCGACCAGGAACGCCAACTGGCATGCCAACCTTCAGATTCAGTTTCGGTGAAACATCCGGACCCATGGCAACAATCGTGCCAGCAAACTCGTGCGATCCTATCCGGGGTAGGTCTTGCCACATGGCACCAGACGCAAAGACGGCATCAGTGTGGCAGTAAGATGCCGCTCCGACCTTGACCAGAATATCTTGACTAGTGGGGTTTGGCGGTACTGGGACATCTTTGAATTTGTAAGGCGTGTTGAACGCCTCCAACACCTGTGCTCGCATATTGGGATATGGCCTTTGACAGAGGGCCTCACAAATTTTAGACTTGTGCTGGGATCAGGATGGGTTTTTGTGTTCTCTGTCGCCCTATAATTTGGTGCGACTCGTGATATATATATTTGGTGATGTGCCACTCGCGGAAGTGAAGAAGGAGACTGTGGGCAACCCAATGGAGAAGCCAATGGCTTCAGCATCTTACAATCAGAGACGTAGCGTATGTAGGAATATCAGCTACTGGGGGGAGGGAGAGGTATGGAAATCCCGGGGAAGAGCCAGTGTTGGGTAATGTGCGACGTGCATGAACGTGGGATGGATGATTGGAGTAAGGAGGGACCTGATAAGTTGGTTGCTGGAGAGGCCTTGTACAGGTCATCGGGGGGAGAGATGGGAGTGAGGGTGAGACTGGTTGCGCATGTCCCTGGTCAGCAAGGTCCATGCCGATAGTGCCGATGACCATGGGCATTGTTGATAGACGTCTGGATGTGTCTCCGATTTGGAGAAGCGGAGACCCTCTGGGATTGGCAGCCTCGTTGGTGCCCACAGCGCGCTAGGGATTAGCCGTGTTTCCCGGGCTCCAGCAGCCGCCCGCCCGCGCCAAATGCCCCGCATTCCAAACACCCAACCTCACCTTCCAATTTTCATCTTAAAGAATGTAGCTTCTTCCCCGAATCCATTGTCCATTCCCCACTGCCACCAGTGCCATCTCTCCTCGACCAGAAATGCGCGAGCCATGACAACGAATCTCGCCACCCCGGCCAAATCATTCGTGTGTCTCCGTTGTAATCGTGGGTTTGCCCGCCTGGAGCATCTCCAACGCCACGAGAGATCGCGTAAGGCAAACTGAACATAGATGTTTGGATCAATGGCTGACCGAGTTTCGAGACACCAAGGAGAAGCCGTTTCGATGTCCCCGATGTCAAAAGGGGTTCACCCGGAAGTATGCTGCTGCCTCCAAGAGACTATTTTGCCGTTGGCGCGAATGCTGACTTGAGAACAAGGGATCTGCTGACCCGTCATATACGCTTATCACATCAGTCGCCCTCAGAGGCGCGCTCTCAACAAAATCATGTACAATCAAGGCCCGAACCACTGTTGCCAGCGCCGCTGCCTCTGGTGAACTGGACCGAGTACCATTCGGTGCCTACCTCAGTTCTTTCTTCCCAGCCCCATGTGGTCTCGCCTGCCACGCAGTCTCTCGTGAGCGGTACCAGGGGAGAACAGCAGCACATTGATCAGCTCCAACACCTACCTTCGCGCTTCTTCGGCCACCCAAATGACAACAATTCAAGCCAGGGAGTTAAGGAACCTTTCTCCGCACCCGTTACGGATTATTCAATGAGCCTGGGTCTTGATGATGGCGGCTTCGATGCGCTCGAGCCAGCCTATACCCAAGACTTTGCCGCCTTCATGGACAGCGTACCTAATCTCACTCATCCATTCTCTCCAACCTACCAACCCCTGCCGGCGTTCTTTTCGAATTTGGATCTGCCCTTGGCCGGTGTTTTTGAAAACACCAACGATCTCAAAGATGGCGAAAACTCGCGTGACGAGACAACGGCGACTACTACGATACAAGCAACACCCTCATCCCTTGCCCATATAAGGGCCGCTGACGCGTCCATCTCGCGTTTTGGCTCTCGGCTGCCATCCTTGGCTCCCGAGGACAAGCCTCCGCAAACTGGACCCCATCCGCAGGGTCCCACGAGGCTGAACAGTCGCGACTTGTTTATCTCGGCCGAATGTCGACAGCACATAATTGATGAGCTGGCGACATTCTCTGGTTGCATAGATGGAGATTTTGTTCTTCCATCCCGACACGCCTTGTCGCGGCTGATAGGTGGATATTTCAAGAACTTTCATGCACATTATCCCTTCTTCCACGTCGCCACTTTGCGAATGGACAGTATCCATGTGGAATTGCTCTTGGCAATCGCGGCCCTAGGTGCTCGCTACACCAGGGAGCCAGAGATGGGCGTTGAGCTGTTCCGTGTCTCGAGATCGGTCGTCTTGGAGCGTCTTCGCAGACGCCAGCGAAGAAAAGCTAACATGTCTTTGGAACAGAGGGCGCAGAACACTTCTTTGCCCAGGAGCGATACGCGACTTGGCTCCAATTCCGCTACAAATCTAGACTCAAATTGTAAAAGGGACGAAAGATTTTGCGTGGTTGAGATGGTGCAGACTTTACTGCTTCTGATTGCCATTGCGTCCTGGTACAGACGCGAGCCGGCAGTAACCGATGCGTTATCAATCCGGAGTATCTTACACTCGCTCATTCAAGATGACGAGTTATCGCGAACTCACGAACAATCGCCGGAGGAGTGGCGAGAGTGGGTTCGATTTGAGACCATCAAAAGAACCCTCCTGGTGGTCTTTTGTTTCTTTAATATTCACACAATTCTGTTTGACCTACCACCCATGATGCTCGCAAGTGGACTGCGGCTCGATCTCCCGTGCTCTGAGAAAGAGTGGAAAGCAGCCAACGAGCTAGACTGGCGAGAAGCCCGCGCTGAATCGAGGTCGCCTCGTCAAGACTTTCAAGACGCCTTCGCTTGTCTCTTTGCAAACCCAGGAGAGTGGAATGGCTCGACCCAGATGATCACGAAAGGCTTCTCTGCTCTTGGTGGCTGTGCTCTCATTCACGCGGTCATTCAACATATTTGGTTGGCTCGAAATGCGCGACTCCCGGTCGTGCAGGAAGGTTCAAGCAGCCTCTCGGACGAGGAAATGAATGTCTTTGAACGGGCCCTGAAACGATGGGCCATGTACTGGGAACGTGATCAGGAATCATCAATGGACCCGCTAAGTCCACACGGCCCTGTAACATTCACATCGACCGCACTCCTTCGGCTAGCTTATATTCGGCTCAACATGGATCTTGGGCCCGTGAGGTCACTCAGCAGCTGGGATCCGTTTACAGTCGCTAACTCATTGCACCAAAGCCCAAAAGTCCAACGCAGCGACAAAATGACGCGGGCAGCACTCCATTGCGCACACGCCCTCAGTATTCCAGTGAAGCTTGGAATCAACTATGTTGCTCAGACGCAACTGATTCTGTGGTCAAACCAGCATGCCCTATGCTCTTTGGAGTGTGCAGTGCTGCTCGCAAAGTGGCTTGAAGCGGTCACTGTGTCCGATCCGAATCCTCCACTGAC